GTGGTTGAGTATTAGATTGTTCCATCTCATTTCCCTTTGGGGTTGCTGTAGGTGATCTGGAAGTCTGGTTTTGAGACTTGTTTGTGTGTCTTCTCATTTCATTGTGTGTGGGGGTGTTGCTGGCACCCATGCAGCTCCTCTCCTTGGTGGTACAGTGGCCGCCCAGAAGGCTCCTCCTTGGCGCTAGCAGTGGCTCTGGTCCTTGGCACTGGGGGTCCTCTCCTTTCTGGTTTAATCCATCTACAACTTCTATGTACCATTAATGGGGTGATCTTCTTTCAACTTCAGACATGACATCCTGATGCCCATCAGCAGCACCATCTGGCTGTTCCTCAGGCAGCTCTGCTTCCTCATGCCTAATACCAACCTCATGGTCTTCTCCAAACCCTATTCTTACCAGTCTTGCTGAGATGACATCTTAAACATCCCTGACATTTTTATGTTAGGCACTGTCTTAGTTACTTTTCTCGTTGTTTAGACAAAATGCCTGACATCCGAAGTTAAAGGGGGAAAGGTTTATTTAGTTCACAGTTTGTACAGGGTTCAGGCAATAATTGGCAGTCTCCAAGGCATGGAGGCAGAAGGCAGAAGGCCAACAGTTCATGGCAGCAGAAGATAGGAAAATCAACAAGGGAACCTTAACAGCATTTTTCTGTCCCTTTTTTCTTATCCAGAATACCAGGATTAGGGCAGTGCCAAACCAATCAGTGTACTGGTTTAGCAATCATCACACACTCTAGATCCAGCCACCTCTGAAAAAGCCCTATACCATGAGGCTTTGGGGGGGACATCTAGACATAAACCATAACAGGCATTGAACAAGGGTATATAATGAATAATGATGCAGGGCATATTCTCCTATAACAGGTAAAGACTCAATTCAGAATTTCCCCAAATTCTCTCCCTATAGCCACCCACTCATGCAAATAATAGCAAAGTAAAAACACAAAAGGATTTTCTTTTCATGAAACATCAAGATGCATTAATGCCCTGGGCTGGGGATTTAGTTCAGTGGCAACACACCTGCCTTCCAAGTGCACAGTCCTGAGTTCTATTGCTGGTACCACCACACACACACAAAAAAAGCCTCAATGCCCCTGGAAGCAGAGTCAGAGGAGATCACATGGGCTCTGAGGACCCTGTGGCCAAAGAATGCCAAGCTAACCTTGGTGCCAAGTACAGGAAGCTCAGGCCAGATACAGTACGGGCTGGTGCCACTGGCAATCTAGAGGAAGGGGAGGGAAGGGGAGGGGAGGGAAGGAAGGAGGGAAGGAAAGAGGGAAGGTGTCCTAAGGAGGTGTTGGGGGGGAAGTCAGTGATATCCATGGTCCTGGGCTGTCACACACACTGGAGCTGTGTTCTTTAGAAGAAAGAGGAGGGAACAGAACCCTAGGCTTGTGCCTGTTAGGTAAGGGCTCTTCAGGGTCTAAAACTTCACCTTGCACACATATCCACAGTGGGTACTCCATGAATACTGTTGTCATTCCTTGGTAGCTATGGGGGACTGGTTCTAGAACCCCCATGATAGCAAAATCCATGGATGCTTAAGTCCCTAACATAAAATGGTGTCATATTTACATGACCTACATACATCCTCTTGTTACTTATTTATATTGTAATACCTAAGATAATGTAAATGGTGTGTAAATAGTTGCTAATTTTATTTAGGGACTAATGCAAGAAAAGTGTCTGATATATTCAGTACACAGTTTTTTTCCCCTTAAATATCTTCTATCGGTAGTTAGTTGGATTCCTAGATCCATAAAATGCAGACACAGAGGACAGACTGTGGTGTATTTGTTGCAGAGATGAACAGATTAAATCTGTCTCCCAAGATGGTGTGGGCAGCATTTGGCCTCTGCGTACTCATGACACAGTGAAAGTGGAGTATCTATAACTGGCTCACTTGCTTCTGCAAATGTTCTCAAGAACCACCTTCACCAAAGGTTTCTAACCCCCAGTCCCCATGGCTGTCCCGTTACTTACAGGCTTTCTTGAGAGCATGAGAAACACCTTCAAACTTTAACTTCATGAAAACAGAAAAGAGAAATGCAAGAAGAGCAAGGATTTATGCTGGGTTTAATCCAGGGATCAGAGTAGAAATGCAGAGAATGAGAAGAAAAGGAGAAGCAAGAAAGGAGGCAGGTGATTAAAAAAAAAAAAAGGAGAATACAAGCCAATCTCAAAGAACCACACATTGTACAATTCCACTTACATCACAAGTCCAAAATAGGCAAATCTAGAGGGCAGAATGGTTGGGTCCAGGCCTGAAGGGAAATGGGAGTGACTGCTAGTGGATAAGAGGTTTCTTTTTGTTCTGGAATTAGATAGTTGCACTGGTTGTGCAACTCTGTGAATATAAGAAACCACTGAATTATTTTAGACTTCAAATTGATAAAATTGCTTGTTATGTGAATTATATCTCAATAAAGCTGTTAACTTCTCCCTACCCTATCTTCCAAATGCAGTAGGTGAGAGGAGAGAAGTAGGAGGCGATTCCTATCATCAGGAATGACAAGCAGACAGGGGAAAGCAGGAGTGCTCACCTCAACCTTCAGACCGGCCTGGAAGCTGATGCCATCTGGGATGGTAGTCTGGAACTCGGCAATGGTGTAATACTCTTCTTCCACTTGTGGTGGGATGGGAGGCTTTGGCAGGTTGAGACCTCGAGGCTGGTATAATTAAAGACAGGACTAACACATTACTGGGATGCTGAGTCAGGGTGGGACTAAGAGACTGTGACATGCAATCACCACAGACCAGGTGCTGGTGGATCTATTTAGATTCTAAGGGTTAAAAGAAAGAGGACTTGACTTTCACCTTCTAGAAGAGATCTCACTGGCCTGAAACTTTAGAGATAAGAAGAAACATGGGACATTTGGCTCCATTTTGAAAATATGGAGCAGGACTTTAGTGTCTGAATTTAAGGTGCAGTGTGGGCCATAGGAAGAACACAGATTTGCAAGTCACATCCATTTGACTGGAAATACAGATGATGGATGTGACCTGGGGCAAATCACCTCCCCCTTGAGAGCTCAGTTTTATCTCCTGTAGAATGGGTACAATAATGGTTATCAAGCTGGTATGCTTGCTACAAGTATTAAATAAATTAATGTAGTGTACCTGATACACTGCATGAGATCCAACAGATGCTCAATAAATGGTAGACCGGGGTGGGCTGTTTTTCAAAGTGGAGGTTGAGTAACCTAAAATTTATTCAAAGTGCTTGGGACCAGAAGTGTTTTGCATTTTACATAGTTGCACACACATAATAAGATATCTTGGGGATGGGTCTCAAGTTTAAATATTAAATTCATTTATATTTCATATATACTACACAGCTTGCAACCTGTCACGTGAGGTCAGGGGTGGAACTTTCCACTTTGGGTGTTCCAACAGTGCTCAACAAGTTTTGGATTTTGGAGTATTTTAGATTTTGGATTTTTGGATTAGAGATGCTCTACCTATGTTGGTTAAAAAGGTACCCAGAGAATTTAGAAAGGGAGTGTAATATAAATGACACCATAAATGATATTTGTGTCTCAGCCAAACTTACCTGTTGGGGTGTCTTAGTTGAGAAGACTGATCTAAGAGAAATGGGCTCAGGGAGCAGAGAGAGGTCCCGAGGCCTAACTATCAAAAATATTCTCTGGAACATGAGCAAGGCATTTCGCGAGCCTAGATCCCAGTCTTTCTACTTGTTAATGGGACTGGCTGCCATACAGCCAGCTTCATAAGGACGCTGCATGGAAGGAAAGAGCATCTCTGGAAAGGTCATGGGTATGTGGGGGCCAGTGGGCATCCCTGAGTGTGGTCAGATCAGGGCCAGCTCCCCAGTAGCAAGGGTCCACTTACGATGGTCATATCGCGACGAGGAGGAGGTCTCTGCCTCATCTTGGGTGATCCTATGGAGAAACGAAACTTATTTCACTAATGCAGAGTTCTACACGTAAAATTTCTGATGTGGACAGATGCCAGGAAAGGTCTTGCCTCTCCCACAGAGGATGGGGCAGAACCTCTGCCCAGGAGACAGATTGCCATTATAGCCTTTCCTACAAGAAAAGTCTGAGCAGGAAGGAGCTGTGCATGCTTGGCTCAGGAACCTTTCTCAATGTGGCTTTGCCTGGATCTTTTCTATGCAGGAACAAAAGGGCAGGGTGCCCAGTTCTCGAGCACTGGAAAAAAGCTTTCTTGTAGGGCAAAAGGCATAGGTTTCAGAATTACACAGAAATGGATCCCAACCCAGCTTTGAGGCTAAAGACTTCTGGTACAGGATGAGGCACAAGGTCCTCTTCTATAGAGAAGGTAGTGATGGACAGGGAAGGCAGATGTGACACTCTTGGCAAGTTATAGGCATGCAATCAATTTACTGTGCCTGGTTTTGTGCTCTAGAACAAGCTCCAACTGAACAACACATAAACAAATGGGATCAAACAGACTTGGGCTGACAACTTCAGGGGTTTTTACTCTGGAGCTGGGGCAGCCCTAGGTCTGGGTCCCAGGGACAGGGGAGGACGGCTTTGAGTGGTCCAAGGCTTCTGGCTAAAGGAGGAATATTGACCAGGTTACCCATGTGCTGCCAGAACTAGGTTAGCATGGGTCCCTACACCAGGGTTACTTGGAAGCTGGTGTATAGAAGAGACTGGCAATCCTTTTAATGCCAATTTATTGTCTACTATTAAACAGCAACAGAGTTTGGTCAAGATATTTAGCTACTATACAAAAACTACATTTCCCAGACTTCCCTGCAGCTAGGTATTGCCATGTGACAAAGTCCAATGGGATGTCAGAGAAAGTAGAAAATATGCAGCTTCTGAATTGTGTACTCCACTTCTTTTTCCTGTCTGCTTTACACTGGCTGGACCAGTGGTGAGCCATAGTGAATAGATGTGTAAAGGCAACACAAGAAAGATACAGAGTGACAAGACCTTGACTATAAGGAGTTGCCATATAAGCTCTGAACATACCGATGGATTGTTTTATGAAAAAGAAATAAGTATCTAGATCATCTAAGTTACTGTTATTGGGGTGTATGTATGCACATGTGTTGGGGGAGAAGTTTTTGTTTTAGCATCTGAACTTTTCATTTGATTCTCCAATGTTAATGGGAATCCTCCTATGCTCTTAACTACAAGAGGTTAAAATTAAAGAAACTCAGGGCAGGTCAAAACCCAGCTGTGATTATGTGAGAAAATACCATCAGCATTTTTTCAGGGCAACTAAGCAGAGAATATGAAGCTTCAATGACTCAAGACTTCATTGCCACTGGGCAAAAACAGCTAGGAGAAGCCCAGCCACGGGCAGTGACCTCCTCTCTTGTGGGAGTTGGAATCTTTTCTCAACAGATTCCTCCTGCCCTACATGACCAGGCAAGGATCATGGGCATTGTGCTTGAGGCCAGAGCCTAGGGTACAATGCAGATAATAATAGAACAACATGCAGGTGTGTGGGGACAATAAATGATAAAATATATACAAAGAGGCTTTGGAAAGGAAGATGTAAAGCACTACTGATACAAGGTCAAGTTTTTCTTCCTCTGGCTCAGAAATGAGGCCGTGTGAGAGATGGAGAGGGCACAGGTACTGCCTGGGCTCAAGTCCTGGCCCCATCATTTACCCTGGTGGCCCCGGACTCATCACCTCACCTTCCTGATACCTCACCTATACAACAAAAGCAATAAAGTCCCTCAAAGTTTGTTATGAGTCAGTGAGACTCATGAGACAATTCTTGGCACATAGTATGTGCTTTACCAGCATGACATAGTGGAACAAACTCAATCTAGGGAAGGGAAGGGAAGCAGTGCATACATAGACTCACATTCTGCACCTTGCTGGCTGAATGGTGCAAGCCTGAGGCTCTAAGCCTCTATTTTTATCTATACGATGGTAGACAACAGGGCTGATGCAAGGAAGAGGGACAGCATGTGAGAAGCTCTGCATGCACAGCCTAGCATGCAGTAGCTTGTCAGCCATCAGCAGGTTGGGTAGGTGTCACTTACTCTGCTTAATGTCGCCCTCGTGCAATGGGCGGCCTTCAGTCCGGCCATCCCTCTGGTTGTTGAGCAGCTCCTTCTCCCTGCCCACTGCATTCTGCTGCCGGGCAACACCATCCAGGTCAAGGGCGCCTGAGTGGGCAGGTAAGCCAGGGCCCAGCTTCGGAAGTAAGGGCTCCCCACTGCTCTTCTTTAGGTAGGAGGCAGGGGCCCAGCCTTCCTTACCCTGGTACCTGGGAAGGGGAAGAATGCTGGTCACAGTGGTCTGCTAGGCATACGGGAGGAAAGCACACTTCTACTGAGAACCCTACTTCAGGCTCTAGACAGCAGGAACAATGAGGCCTAAGTATCCAGAACAGAGTCTGACACACTGCTCACTGCCTTCGGATGACTAAGTCCCTAGCTTAGCATTCTAGGCTTTTTTTTTTTTTGTACCAGGGATCGAACTTGGGACCTTGCACTTGCAAGGCAGGCAGTGGAACCACTGTGATAAATCCCCAGCCCCATTCTAGGCTTTTCAAACCTGGTCTCTGCTTACTCCTCATATCAATCATGACATCCCAGCCACCCAATCCAACTCACAGTCTCTCAAATGGACCTTTCACCCCCATTGTCCTGCTCCTGCTAAGCGCACCTGTTCCTCTTCCCTGGCTTTGCTTAATGTCACTCCTCCCTCAAGCCCTTTCTGACCTTCATGGCATCCCACTGTCTCTTGTGCATACTGCTATCCCAGCACATGTAACCTAAGATGATACTTGGTGGTGGCCATCGTGTCTGCCAGTTAGAATGTGAGTGCCTGGGGTTAGGGAATGCAGCCAAAACATCTCTATGTCAGTGGCCTTGGTGCCAGTGAGTTGAATGAAGAAATAAAAGTCCAAGTGGATAAGCTCCAATGGTGTGGCACAGAGTGACTGGCTGGAAAGCTCAGTTATAGTGCTGTCACCTTAGAGTCACTGTGGTGATGACGATAACAGTAATGACCATGGAAACCAGCACTTGGTGGGCACACACTCTGTGTTGGTCCTGCCTGACGCACTTCACAGCTACTGATGTTCACTCAGCCAACCCTGGGAGGGAGACACTATAGGCTGAGCAACCCTAATCTGAAAATCTGAAATCCAAAATGCTCCAAAACCTGAACCCTTTTGAGCAACAAAATGATGACACAAATGGAAAATTCTACACCTGACCTCACGTGACAGGCTGTAGTCAAAACACAGGTGTGTTAAAAATATTGTGTAGAATTGTTTTCAGCCTATAAGGTGTGTATGCAAAATAAATGAATTTTGTGTTTAGCTTGGGTTCAACTCCCAAGATGATTTCTCCTTAGGTGTAAGCAAATATTCAAAAATCTGAAAACATCCAAAATCTAAAATACTCCTGGTTCCAAGCACTTTGGATAAGGGACACTTAACCCTTACAGTGATCTATTTGAAAGATAAGAGGACGAGAGATAGAGACATCAAGTACTCTGTCCAAGGTTATAAGCAAGTCTGTGGAAAATTAGATTAAGACCTAGTGATCCTGTGTTTGCTGCCTTATCCTAATAGCCCCAGCTCCTGGTGCAAAGCTTGGCACTGGCAGGGTGGGTTCCATATGGCAGGGTTGGTTAATATGTAGATTAAACACTCATCACATGGGAATGAAGCAGGTCCAGGGTTGGCTGTCACTGAACTGTGGCATGATCAGGACGCTGACAGAACCAGCTCACCGTCCTCCCAAAAGGGAATTCAGTGAGTATAACCATCACTTAATTCTCTGTACAACAGAACTCAGTAGCCAGAAGGGTCTGGACTAGAGAGGTGTGCTGGAGCTAACCTCCACCAGCTGGTGACAGCCATCAGTGCCTATCTTTTGAACTCTGTATTTAGTATTTATTGACACCATACTGATAGCTTGAAACTCCATGGTGGAAGTGTTTAGACTATGAAAGTAGGCAAAGACCATAAGTCAGAACGTTCTCCTCCCCAAAAATCAATTGTTAAACATTTGCCAGCACTCCACAAAATAGGTGCTCACACCTTTGGGGAAAGTTGAACAGACCCAACTGACTGGAGGTAGTACATGGCAGAGCCAAATCTCTTGTTCAGAATCACTTTAAGTACTAACTAGCCCTGAGTTTCAATGAAAAATAGGTCCTTTAGAACTGGAAGCAAATTTCTAAGGTAGAAACCTATACATTTTAGTGTCTAGCAACTTTCAATAGCCTCCATGAGGGACTAAACCTTGTCCTAATTGGAAAATGTCAGGCTCCATACTATCCACACACTCAGAACAAGACAGGTCATTGCCTGAGAACACAGTGGCCAGTAGGTGGGTTCTGGGTGAAAAAGGTAGGGGTTCAACTTTCCAACTTCCACTGAACCTTCACCTGAGAGCAGCCATCATTGACACCCGGACCGCAATGTCATGAGAAACCCGAGCCCAATCAATCCACTTGAACTCCAGGGTTGCTAAGTTCTGGAATAATTTGTTATGCAGCAAGACAATGTAACAGTTGGATGTCACTTAACAATGGGATGCTTTCTGGAGATGCGCTGTTAGGCGACTGCATTACTAGGCGAATATCAGAACAGGCTTACCCAAACCTAGATGGTGTAGCCTGCTATGTATGCATCTAGCTGTGTGTGACATGCATACATACATATACATGTACCTACACATGTACATACACAATTAAATCAACCATATAGTAAAACAATGGACTCGAGAAGTGTAAATACTGAATATATGAGGCTGCTGCCAACAAGACAGGGCACTCTGTTTTATAGTAAACTTTTTTTTTTTTTTTGGTACCGGGGATCAAACTCGGGTCCTTGCACTTGCGCATCAGGTGGCCAAACCACTGAGCTAAATCCCTGGCCCTATAGTAAACTTTTGTGGGGGGTGATTGAGCCCAAGTCCTCTGCACTGAGCTAATCCCCCCAATCCATTTTTATTGTGGAAAAAGGATCTCATTAAAATTGCTAAGTTGCACAGGCTGGCCTCAAACTTTCGTTCCTCCTCCCTCAGCCTCCTAGAGTGCTGGAATTACAGGCATGTGCCACCACGCCTGGCTTATACTACTCTTATATGATTGGCAATGAAGTAGGTTTGTTCATACTAGCATTATCACAAGCATATGCTCAATGTGCAGTGCACTACTGCAATACAACAGTCATGGTGTCACGGGGGGGCGGGTAGGAATTTTCCACCTTATGGGAGCAGCACAGCACATGTGGCCTGTCATTGCCTGAAGGGACATTACTGGCACATGACTGTATGTGCTCAATATACGTTCACTATCATTAATATCATTCCTTTAAATTTCTTCCTGACCCCTAGACTAAGAGCCCCTCTTTGTGCACCCCAAGTCCCCCAAGCATCTCTCCAACACACTGTCCCTCTCCCCACCCTACTCTGTAGTTATTGTGAGTTGGCTTTTGCACATGTTGGCACATGAATTACTGTGCCTTGTTCATGCTTCGTCACATAGGTGAAATGAGCAGCCTCAAGATGGTGTGTAAGAATCACACTGGTCTCCGATAAGGCTGGAGTGGTTGATTACTCAATGGGGTGCCTTCAACCTTGGGTTACTCACCCCAAGACACATCTGGAGGTGGAAACCAGTTTTGCTTAACAGGGTTTCTGCTGTCTGTAGTTCAGCGTGTTTGGAGAAGGTTTTGCTTATTATGGACTTTTAGAGAGAGCTATGGGTAGGAAGGGAAGCCAAACAACACAGAGATCTTATGGCACAGGCAGAGAAATCCCACCCATCTGCCGTCCCTTACAGACCTCTGTAAAGCTGGAGTTCCAAATAACTGAAACCTACCCAGCTACAGCTGTCAGGAGGCTGCAGTGATTACCTGATCTTCCACCAGCCTTCCAGGTTTTTCTGGATGACCTCCACCATGGCCCCTCTCTCCAGGTTCATCTCATCCTGGTCACGAGCTGTGTATGGGTAGATGACTGTGTACTTCTCCTCTGCAGGGACAGAGAGTGCCGGGATAAGAAACCTACATGAAGAGTCCCAGATGCTCACTGTGATCTGTGTGACGAAGTGGAGGGACAGTCTCCACCAGAGATTCCCGTGCACCCCGGCCCATGGTCCCTAAGCTCTGGATCACCTTGTGTCAGCAGCAACAGGACATGGAGAAAGGGCAGGCCCCGTGTCTCTGAAACTCCTTGTATCACATTACCCCCACTTTCCTCAAGTTGGTGCTTCAATTGTGCTGCCCTTGACCGCCTTATGCAGTAGTCTGTCTCATGGGATCCCTGTCCCCCTTGCTTGGGTTAAATACTTTGCCACACATCCCAGGAACTACCTTCTAATACAACATTTTCTTATTTATTGTGTTTCATGCCTATTTCTTCTGGTAGAATATGAGCTCCACAAAGGCAGGAATTTGTCTCTCCCTTTCATTCCTGTATGTCCAGCACTGGACATGTGCCTGGAAGATTTAGTAACTGAAGAATTAGTCTCTGTTCAGTAAAGGCACAAGTCTCGAGGGCTGGGTGGGAGAGCCACCTTGCTCACACAGAAAAGTTAAGCTCTCAGGGGTTCCTTGCCAATTCTCCCTGGCAGAGACTCAGAGTTCAGAGATAATCTGACTATTGGCAGTGGATGATTTCTAGCTAAGATCATCAGCGAGGAGACAGCAGCAATTCACATCACCTAGCTGGTAACTACTTTTCACTTTTCATTAATGACACCCAGACTGGCTTGAGGCTTTAATTTTCATTCATGTTAGTGGGGGCGCCTTCTACCCCACTCCCTGTGAAACCCCCTGGCCCGGAAGCCATGGGGCTATCCTTATGTGCCTCTTTGTGCCTCTCTGCTGTGTTCTTCTCATAGCAGCCACTGAGACAGGGGCTTGCAGGGAGGACTGCTCATGGCCACTCAGGCAAGGGAACAGCTCCTATCCTCAACGGCCTCCTCTCTGGCTGCTGAACTGGAGAAAACAGAAGCACACCCCAGGGATTCCTGCAAGGAGAGGAGCGGGCTGCCCTGCTTTGGTTCCATTTCAGCTCCTGGGTCAGTTCAAGCCAGCTGTGTCCTGGAGCCCAGTTAGTATGTTGGTGCAGAGTCTTTGGACAAACACTATAGGCAGCCCGTGGCCTGCCAGCTGCTGCAGAGGGAGGCGGAAGCACACAGGGCCTTTGTTTATTTATTGATCTGGCCTGCTGACCTGCTCAGTGGGGGTAGTGCTGACTCGTGGCACATATCCTGGTTCAGTGGAGTCAGCTGTTCCCTTTTTCACAGAAGCTGTGGGTTGGGGTGCTGGGCTGTGATCTGTGAAAGGGGTAATTCAACCCCCTGAAGGTACACAAGTTGTTTGGTCCAGGTAGGAAGGGGTGCTGCTTGGATGTCAGTCTAGGTACAGCCAGTCTTACAGTCCCTGGATTCCTGTGTCCCCAGGCATTCTCTAGAACCCAATAGGTTTGCTCTGGGATCTGAGGGCTGCTCAGTGATCCCAGACAAAGGTCAGGATAGAAGCCATTGCAGGCTGCATCATGGGCACCTGCTGATCCGTCTGCCTGGCTCCCACCTGCCTACCCACTATCGGTCCTACCAGCCTCCATCCATGTGGTTAGGGGAGGCTGCGCCCTTCTTCCCAGAGGGAGGGGGCTGGAGTATTATTCTGGCCTGGCCACAGTGTTGCAAATCCCAGCCACTACAATCGGTTCAGGGATGGCATGGGAACTGGCTGGGTCAGTCAGAACCAATCTAGAGGCTTGTGTTTTAGAAGTTGTTTCTTTGGTGGATGTCCATGAAAAGTGCCTGGGAACTGCTGTCACTAGAGATAATGGTGCCAACAAAGCAGGAAGTGAGGCAGACAGGTGGTGAGAGAGGTCCCTAATGACACCCTCACACCCCAGGATCCAGCCACGCTTGAAGCTGGCCCTACCCTGGGCTTTTTGGTGATATGAGTCAATACACCTCCTCTTCTTCGTAACCTGGCTGAGGCAGGCTTCTTCCCCCTAGTACTCAGCAAGCCTGATGGAAGAACAAGGCCACTGGTTCTACAGTATAGAAGACCTCAGGCACCTTTTTAAAGCTGGGAAGCTTCAGAGCTCCAAGGCCGCCAAACACTGCAGGTATGCTCCTCCCTAGCCCTCATGCCAGCACACACACAATACTGACAAGTCAGTTTTTCACATGCAGCAGGCAAGGAAGTCCCAGAAGGGGAGGCTCATGCAGATGCAGGGACCCGCTCTGAACACCAAACGGAAAGTGAACTCTGAGGAAGACACCTTGGCGCCAGCTGATGCTGTACAAGTCCCCCAGAGTTCGGTGGCGGCGACCTGCAGGGCGGGGCAAAGACCAGTACCTCCACGAGACTGGATGGGCAGCATGTGTAGGGGAGGGCAGAAGGCAGAGGTGAGAAGGGAGCACTCCCGGGGACTCCCCTGAGATGCTGCTCCCCTTAGAAGAGCACTCTTTCTGAGTCTATTCTGAGCCCAGAATATTAGGAAGCCAAGTGCCTGAGTGTTAACCTTGAACTTAATCAAGAGGCATCCAATAGATGTAACTGTATTCCTAGCATGATTATAAAGAGTCACTAAGAAAATCCCTCACAGTAGGGGGTAGAAAGATGTCCAAACCCTTAAGAAAAGGTCACAACTTCCAGCTGTGATGCTGGGCAAATCTACTTTTCTGAGCCTATTTTGGATAAATGAGAATAACAACCATTCCGTTACAGAGCATAACCACGGTGGTTATCATGCACTGACTGTAAGGGAGCTGGTCCCATGTTGTACACCACCTGCCTCTGAGCTGCTTCTTGTGGCATCCCTGTGTCAGCCTGGCCCTCAAGACAGCAAACCAGCTCTGCAATACTGCTAAATGCAAAATCACATCCGATTTTTTTTTTTTGCTAATCCTTGTATTTAGAAATATTGCCTCTATTTATTTATGGTTTGTTTTGTTTTTTTTGTACTGGGGATCAAACTCGGGACCCTGTGCTTTCAAGGCAGGCGGCGGAACCACTGAGCTAAATCCCCAGCTATCTGGTTTTTTTTGAGACAGGATCTTACAATGTAGTCCAGGCTAGCTTTGAACTTGTTATGTAGCCCAGGCTGACCTTGAACTCTTCAATGCCTTGACTCAGCTCCCAAGTGTGCGGATTACAGGTGCGCAGCTACGCCCAGCTCTCACCCTTGTTTTGGATACATATGTACTTAAAGTGGCTTTGTGCTTTAACCTCTGCTACAAGCCAACACTCAGCCCCAGGTAAAGTGTAGCTTATCTGATGACTGTTAAACTGTTTATTACTCTAAGTTCTTTGCATATAGAAACTCATTTAACTTTTTACAACTTCCATGATACAGATATCATCATTTCCATTCTCAGGCAAGGAGGCTGTAGTTTAGGAGGCAACGTTTCTGCCCCAAGATCATTTAGTCAGAATGTGGCATAGCTGAGATTCAAATTCAGGTCTGACTCCGAAACACTTGTCTGCTAATGAAGGTGAACACATACTTTGGTTTCAGGAAGCTTCTGGGGGAAGGGAGTGGGTGAGTGTCGGTACTGCTGGCATGGCAGGCATCACTATTCAGGACAGGGCCATTTATACCAACAGAGAGCAGACATCTTTAAACACATGGGGTCAAAGGTCTTGTACATTATCCAGCAGTTCTACTATCTTGGCTACCAGAATAATTCTATGGAGGAACAGTGATTAGGCTGAAGCCCTCCTGGAGTCCTAAGAGGGTGTAGGGGAACAGCTATGGCCAGGCTCATCTTGGGTGGCTCCCAGAGGCCCCCCAAAAAGGGGGCTTGCCCCTCCACCCCAACCTAGCTTCATTTTCATAGTTTGGGAGCCAGTGAGCTGCTGGTGCCCAGAGGCAAAGGGTAAAAGAAAGGGACTAAGTAAGGAAGCAACACAATGTGGCCTCAAGGCTCCCATGCAGGCAGGGGTGGGAATTCCTACCTACCTTCTTCAGGCTGTAGAGAAAACTCATCCTGGACACCGTCCTGCCCCTCAAGGCAGGTTGCAGGGACCCAGCCTTGCTCCTCTGCAGTACTGACGAACCACCAACCTGGGGAAGTGAGAGTACAGAGTGATGTTAGTGGGGCTAAGCAGTCAAGAGCATAAAATACAGGTATCCCTCGGTACCCGGGGGGATGGTCCCAGGACCCAAGACCTGTGGGAAGCAAAATCTGCAGATGCTCATGTTTCTTATAAAAAATAGTGTAGTGTTTTCATAGAACCTATACATATCCTCCCACAGACTTTCAATCATCTCTATTTGACTTACAATACCTAATACAATGTGAATACTATATGAATAGCTGCTTTATTGTTTAGGGAATAATGGCAAGGAAAAAACCTGTACATGTTTAGTACAGATTCAATTTTGGTTTTGAATATTTTCTATCCATGGTCTGAGGATCCATATCTGAGGATGTGGAATCCACAAATACAGAAAGCCAACTGTATACTCAGTACTCTATTGGTTAATGCTTAGGGTAAGACTAAAGGGTTACCGTTGTATGGGTGGAACACAACTACCAATGTTAGCTGTTAACTGTTAAGAAACTTCGGAGCCTGGGACAGGGGAGAAAAAGGTCATCCTAAGTGATAAGAACATTCAGCATTCTAAGATGTGCGTGTCATACACTGACAGCTTTACTTGCATTATTTTAAATAATCTTCACATTATTATCCCTATTGCACACATGGAGAAATTGAGGCTCAAAGAGCAAATGGACTCATTGATATTCACCAGGGTTGTGGCAGCCTTTTGCTTTGTGCCAGGGCTGTTTGGTACTGAAGGCACTTCTCTAACAACTTCTCTGGGACACCCCTTGTGCATCTGTGTGGATCAAGGGAAATCTCGCCGTGGATGTGACTGCTTCAGAGGCCTCACTCCCACACCCAGGCATCCCCCAGAGGTAGGAGGTTGTGTGGGTGATGCCTATGGTAGATAATGTAATGACTTCACAAGATGACCAGATCCTTATCCCCAAAACCTGTGAATACAGCTGGCCCTCTGAATCTGTGGATTCCACTTCTACAAATTCAACCAATTACCAAATGGGAAATATTTGAAAAAAAATTATATCTGTATGAACATACACTTCTTACAACTGCTCTCTATATAATACAGTATAACAATGATTTACAAGGCATTTACATTGATTAGGTATTAGAAGCCATCTAGAGACTACGTAAAGCATATGGGATGGCAGCTGTTGGTTATATGCAAATACTATGCCGTTTTATATAGGGGACTTTAGTATCCATGAATTTTGGTATCTGTGGAGGTCCTAGGATCAATCCTCCATGCATAGAGAAGGACAACTGTATAATTTAAAGTACATGTTACCAGTGTGCTGGCTACTTGCAGATTTGAACATCTATTTTTGTTTGGCTGCCCTCCTGACTCTTCCTCCTCCTCCTAGCAGCCTGTTCTTCCTCATTTTACTCAAGTTGGTTGACCTGTGGGATGGGTTTTCCCTTAATGTCCCCATCTGGGATCCTCACCATAACACACAGTCTGCATATATCTATCCTCAGGAATTAGAAAGTCATATGGCCTTATGGTCAGCTGGAATGGGATTTGAACTCTAGCGACAGTTGTAAAGTCTAGCATGAGTGACAAATTCATGAAGCAGAGATAATGTGAGATAATGTATGTTTTTCAGTTTGTATCTGTGGCTCATTATTCCCATAGCCCTTGTTACTTCCTAAGTCTGAAATAAGGTTGTGACACGTCAGGTCTAGAAGAAAGGCTCAGAAAGCAAAGTCTCTCTGATTCCTGCCTTCCTTCCACCTGCTCCCTTTTCTCCCCAAGGCAGGTCATGGGGACTAGAACTTCTCTTCCTAAGGCAGGTCATGGAAACCAAAAATATACTCTAACCTTTCCTGCCTTGGAGCTGTTGGCCATAAAGAAACTCTTTGATCTACTTTGATAGTGGGTATAAGACCTCATTTCAGAAGGGGTTCTGCCCCCTATCTGGGAGGAGTGAAGGTTGCAGAGGCCAAGAATCTGCACAGATGGGCCTTGTGGGGGTCTCCCCACCCAATCTATTAGCATCAGGCTAGACTCCTTTATCCAATTACAATTGTCCATGTTTCAATCAAGTCTGCGTGGGCAGAGTTAGGAGCACTTCTGGATAGCCAAACACTAGAAGCTCCTGGAGGGGGCATGTGAGCTCTACATTCCTCCCGTATAACTTACCCTATGCATCTTTGGTAACATTCTTTTTTTTTTTTTTTTTTTTTGGTACCAGGGATGGACCTTCTGCTTGTGAGGCAGGCGCGGTGCCACTGAGCTAAATCTCCAGCCCTAACATCCTTTACAATAAACTGGTAAGCATGTATCCTTGAGCTCTGTGAGCTGCACAAAGCAAATTAATGGAACCCAAGGAGGAGGCTGTGGGAACCCTGATTTTTAGTTGGCTGGTCAGAAGCACAGGTAAAAGGACCTGGGGCTTGTGACTAGCACTGAAAGTAGGAGAGGACTGAGTCTTCGACTTGTGGGATCTGACACTCTCTCCAGGTAAAGAGTGTCAGACTGCACTGGCTTAGAGAGAAGACACCTGGCTAGAGTCTGCTGCAGAGCTGACTGCTTGCTTGTTTGCTGGTGTCCCCACACATTTGGAGATCACAGAAATGCCTTGTGCTGTGGGTGTGTAGTAGGAGACACGGAGATTAGGGGTAGGATTTCCCTCATCTCTGGAGTTAACAATTCCTAGGTTGCATAATTGACATTTGGTTGGCTAACACAGATCTCATGATTAACGGCAATGTGATTCAGAGGATAACACAAATATTGTCTTTTCCCCTTCTTTGAATGTGGACAATTTCTAGACTACATAGTTCAGGGAGGAGGTCTGCTTGGCTAACACTGGTCTAGTGATTAATATGATTAAGGATAACATGATTCAGGATAACAGGATAATGATAACAGGATGCTGGAAACATCATCTTTCTCCTGTTCTTTAGACCTTAACTACTAGCCACTTGGGTATCACTGAGCTTGGTGCCCAACGGCATTATCAGTCAATGCCACATTTTAGCCACAATGAACCCCAAAGGAGAGAGGAGCTGCTCACTCCCTGCGCCCTGCTCTGTGCCTTCAGTGGTATGTGATGGCTGCCCCAGGACTAAGAAAGTAAAAGGGAAGGAAATGTAATTTTAGAGTGCCTACTGTGTGCCAAGCACTGGTTTAGACTCCTTCTCACATTATTTCATTTAATCACTGCAATGCCCTTTGGAGGAAGATTTGTATTTTGTAGATGTGAAAATTGATGCTCAAACAGAAGAAGTAACCAGGTTAAGTATCTCAATTATGCCCATGCACTCCACTAATGTTGTGACCAGTGGCCTGTTTGCTGGGCAGGGGTGGTGGTGGGGAGATGGCAGGGAGTGCGTCTGTTCAACTAGACCCCAGAGCTATGAGCCTTCTGAAGACCCCCACAGGAAACCAGAGGCCAACCAATGAGACACTTTCCAGTGGGACTGCCTGACTGTCTCCAAGTGCTTGAGAACCAGAAGGAAGTTTATGGAATATGAATCTAAGGACAAACTGGTAACATCTGATCGGGATGCTAGTGAGCTGCGAACAAGTGGATATTTGTGATCAAACAGGGGCTGTTGCTTTGAGGCCTCAGCTAGAGCTGGGGAGACTGGACAGCTTGGACTGCTTATTTGTTTTTAAGTTCCCATGTGCTTCTGGTGATAGGGCCTTGGTGACAGTGTAGGGTGGGAGGTAAGTGGTATAGGAAACTACCTGACTCATTTTTTTCGATGATGTCTACCACCTGTCCCACACTGAGGCTGATCTCCGAGCTCTCTTGCTTCTGGTAGTCTGCAACCACCACATACTGCTCTAGGACCATGGGGTCCACAGAGGCCAGGTCACCACCTGTAGATAGCAAAGCAATCAGATGTCACATGAGGTCACCACCCCTGCATGAAGGAGCCAGGGGAGCAGTGTGGGTCAGGGGACTTTCCAAATAACGAAGCTCTTACAGGACTTGTCTCAAGAGTGACCCTCTCCACGCATTCTTTCATTCATTTGCTCACTCAGCCATGAAAATTTACCAGGTGCCCACACCGTGCAAAAGCATTGGGGGTTCCAAGTTGATTAAGAGATGGTACCTGCCTCAAATAAGCTCACAGCCTAGTGAGAAAGCTCACAGATGGGTCAAATGTCCCCTGCAAAACCCAGGTTGGAACTGATTGCCAGTATGACAGTATTGGAAAGAAAGACCTTTACCAAGGAATTCTAGTGGGGTAAGGCCCGTATCACAGGAGAAGGACTGTTAACTGAGTGAGTGATTGTATCATAAAAGCAAACTTTTTTTCCTGCCATATGATGTTTGCCTTCCCTGACCACCTGGTACCACCTCACCTGTTTCCATTCCTTACCATATAGTTTTTAAAAAAAATACTGTATACTTATTCATTTCCCTGTTGCTTATTTTTCTGTCTTAGCATAGAAGCCCCTGAGGTCAGGGAGTCCGTCTCTTCTTACTGCTGTACTCATTCTGCCAAGAGGCTCACAGACCAATTGTCCATTTTTGTCCAAGGGGTGCTAAGAATGTTTTTTTATTTTTTTAGAGTTGTTAAGAAAAGGAAGAAAGTGAATGGGGAGAATATGAATAATATGTTATTATTATTGGGGATGGAAATTGTATGTGGCCTGTAAACCATTTACCATCTGGCCTTTTAAAAGAACAGTTGGGGCCAGGGATTTAGCTCAGTGGTTTTGCCACCTGCATCGCAAGTGCAAGGACCTGAGTTCGATCTCCAGTACAAAAAACCAAAAAAACCCCAAGAAACAGTTGGCCTAGTCTATGGATGATCTAATAAAACTCAATAGGGCTGGAGGTGTAGCTCTAGTCCTCCTCCTGGGAGTAGCCCATGCTAAGAGCTATCAATAAGCACTTGCCCATCTTATGGGAGACCAGAGATTATTTCTTGCCTACAAATAGGAACAGCAGCTTTCATTATGTGAGGATCTAATTCAAGTTACTCTGTCCAAAAAGTCCTATTTCTTCAGTTTTAACATTTGATAATGGCTCAGTTGGTCCATTTATTTCTGCACCAACTTCCTAACCACTCTACCAATGAGATTTGGCAAAACTATGAAAAATGACAGAATCAGGGAATCCTGAGACTTGTGAGCAAGACAGGAACCCAGAGACTGAGTGGGGCAGACAGCAGGGTTAGCTATCTGGCCTGGCAAGAGCAGATCAGGCTCAAACTTGGGTCCCAGGGCTGGCACCTCCTCCAAGATTAGCTTTGGGGCTTTCAGACTGTGGTTCCCTGCCATGAAGTGGCTCAAAGATTCATGGAGCTGCTTTCCGGCATCACTTCTCTCTGAGTAAACTGCCTTCTCTTTACTCAGGGCACTCAACTCACAAAATGGATGAAAAAAACTGGGCATGATGGAGGATGCCTGCAATCCCAGCACTCAGGAGGATCACCATGAATTTGAAGCCAACCTGAACTATACAGTGAGTTCAAGGCCAGCTTGAACTACATAGTGAGACCTGTCTCAAAAAAAACAACCAACCAACCACCCACCCACCCAAAATGATGAAAAAAAGAATCTAATTCATCTGATCTACAGTCTCAAATTAGCTTCAGGACACCTGGATGTGTGTGGAAACACCTACTGGTGGAGCATGATACTGCAGCCAAGCTCTACAACACTTAATCGTTTCAATACCTCAAAGTTGAGCCAGGCATCTAAGTTTTAGGAGTTGCCAAGTATGAAATCAAAGGTTTCCTAGGCAAGAAATGTCATGTGGCCTAGCAGGAAATAAAAGAGAAGGAGGAGACTTGACAGTGGAAGGGTGATTTTTATCATTACAAGGTAAAAAATATTCAAGTGGTTTAGTGCCTAATCTACCACAGAAGTTTTCTATTTGAATACTTTTTCTTCATGATGACAAGTCTTGAATTTTTAAAATGAGTAGTGGCAAAGTGGAATTCCCATAAATTCACTATACTGCTAGGCTTGCTGAAAGAATCCATAAACCAGAGAATACTTTGAAAAGTAAAGGGCAGAACAATCAAGAAGAAAGATGCTCCTTAAGTCATCAGATAATGTTAAGCTGTGGTGAGATGGTTTTCCTGCAGGATGAGCAGAATTTGAGACCACATTAGCCAACGTCGTGGGAGCCAGCCACCCAGCCAGACTGGGAAATTCTGGGGATAGATAGCCTTCTCCAGTTCAGGGTTCAGCCAAAGAAATCTCAGGAGTTAAATCTGTTAATCTTAAATCCCTTTTAAATTCAACCAAGAAGACCAGTTCTAAAATAAAGGTAGTGTTCAAAAGGTCAGATAAAAAAACAAAGCCAAGCCCATAATGGGTTCTTAGACTGAATGAAGAAAGATGCCATTTTCTACCAGGCTCAACTATAAATAAATCTGTTCCCCATCATTGCAGGTAAATGGCGCCAACAGCAGTTGCCACAAATTAGAGCCACGTCTCTCTTTCCCAGACAAATCCCTTCATCAAGCCTGTCCCAACCGGACACTTATGTTTGCACAAACCAGAGCAGTCTCTTTCTTCTCTTCTCTCCCACCCACCCACTCCTTCCAGAGAAAGTCTCTGTACACCAAAGCCAGGAACTCTGTGACCAGCCCAAGTGGTAGCCCTTCTCTGCTCTTTTCTAGGAAATATGTAATTATGCTCAGGGCTCAAGAACTATTTGCAGTTTTAGTAGGATACCACGGCTCTGGCCAGTACCAATTAAACCCGAAGGAGAGCTGTACATAGACCATTTGAGCAAATGCCAGAGTTAATTCCAGATGCCCTCCCCAAGGCAGAGAGATCCACCTCCTCTACACATTCCTCTCCAAGATGGCCTTGATGCCTGTAAAGCTGACCATAGGCCTTGGGCCCAGGAGGCAATAAAAGGTCAGGGGCCACTGAATTTGGAATCTGTGGTCAGGGACATTAGTGTGCTTTAATAGTAATAGTAATAAAAATACTATCAAACATATATCACAATGTGTCAGGCACTATTCTAAGTGCTTAGTCTGTATTATTATAAATCCCATTACAATCTTATAACCCAGATGATTATTTTTAATCTCAATTTTACACACAAGGAAACTGAGGCCCCTGAGAGAAGTCATCTATCTTTACTTTTGATTATTTCTGCTTATGCTGGAGTCCTAGGAAATTAAAGAGGTTAGAATCTGGAAATCTAGGGCCAGAGACTTAGCTCAGTGGTTTCGCCGCCTGCTGCGCAAGTGCAAGGACCCAAGTTGGATCCCTGGTACCAAAAAAAAAAAGAATCTGGGAATCTGAAGACCATACTGGCTCTAGGTTTGGTACAGGCCAGAGCTTTTGCAGATGAAGGGGACAATTGTGCATGGTGGGAAGAAAAAGTTGGGCCATTGTTGATCTAAATATTTTTAAAGCCCAGGCCTGTGAAAACTCAAACACTGCTCTGAACATACACAGATTCCCACCTTCTCTCTTTCCATAATTGCTTCTGATAGAAGAGTTGTGTTTTGTTTTTTTTTTGGTACCGGGGATCGAACTCGGGTCCTTGCGCTTGCAAGGCAGGCGGCGGAACCACTGAGCTAAATCCCCAACCCAAGAGTTGTGTTGTTTAGGGAAGGGAAAGCTTCTTTTTTTTTTTGGTACTGGGGATCAAACTCGGGTCCTTGTGCTTGTGCAGCAGGCAGCAAAACCACTGAGGTAAATCCCCAGCCCGGGAAAGTTTCTTAAGAAGGAAAAGTTTGTTGCAAGGGGAGTGGTAGGGAGCATAGGAATTGCTCCATACTGCATCAGTCACTGACCAGAACAGCAGCTGACCAAGAACAGCAGTATAGAGGCTGAGTCTGGTACTGGGGATGTCAAGTGGATTAGGTCCAGGGCCTCTCCTCATTCCTGCTTCCCAGCCTGAGTGCATGCTGTCCCCTCAGCCTGGAATGCCCTTTGTTAAGTGGAAACTTCTGCATGTTCATGACCCAGGTCTTTACCTTCTGACTCCTTCCAACACCTGAGAACAATGCTAAGCTACCACATTATTTTGTGTGAAGTGGAACAAGGGCATTTAGCCCCTTAAAGGATGGGTAGGAAGACATCTGTCTCTCCTACTTCCATCTCAGGGTTATCAGTTCATTTGTAATTTCTTTTTTTTTCTCCATTAAGTTTATTTTATTTGTAATTTCTTGATACAGGACAACACAACCTCAAATCCTTCTGGGAAACAGGGTGGGGTATCAACCAAATAAGCATCCATCCATTCATTCACCCAACCAACCACCCATCCATCCATCCATCCACTCATCCAAGTATCTGTTTATCCATTCATCCATCCATCCACACACTCACCCACCTACCCATATTGCTGTATCCCCAGTGTGAAACCAACACCTGATGTACTCAGTAGACACTCAGTAGGAATACGTTAAACATTGGAGGAAGAAAAGAAAATGGGAAATACTCTTACCAGATTTCTTTTTCCCAATGTGTTCCCTGTATAGGAAAGAATAGGGGCAAGAAAGAATAATGAGTCAGTACTTGATTTGTATTGCCGCAAGTATTCCACTAGGAAACAGATTCTTTATCCCACAATAGCATCAGTGAATGAATAAAAAACAAGCCAACCAGGGACCCAGGCCTCTTAAAAAAGGAAGAATTGCTCCTAATTTTCTCCTTTTAGCTGGTAAGTGCTCCAGTGTTCTGGGGGAACTAGTGTCTCCCAATATTTGTAGCATGGAGGGCCCTGGGGAAGAACAGGAAGATGTCACATGGTACAAAAATAGGGCTTAGACCCTCACATTGCACTGAGCTTGGTCCCTATCTTGTCATACAGAACAGGGATTCCTGCCCCACTTCTTGGGTTCCTCTAAGGCACAGATTGGAAGCATAAAGTGCTTGGTAGGAAATGACAAAAGAAGCACACTAAAGACAGTGAAGTCTGGATAGCAGTACATACAGGACATCTCCTTAGCTACTATGCGCTAGCATTCACAGAGAACTGACTACAACTGTATTACAAGTACAATATTAAAGTCAGGGTTTACAAAGTACTTGTAAGTAAATGACCTTATTAGTAATAAGATTTTAGTAGTTGGGTTGGGATAGATGCTACGGCAACAATAGCATCATTTAGTAATTATTAAATGCTATTGCGTGTGTTGAATTTCTGCTAGATACTTTCAATTCATTCATTTAATGCAATGATCCTAAGAAAGAATTACTCTTTTATCTCCATTCTACAGATAAGGAAAATGGGACACAGAGTAACTTGCCCAAGGGCATATGGCTAGCAAGTAGTACAGGCCAGAATCTGAATCCAGTTCTATTTAATTAAAAAAAATTAACATGTCAGAAAACTCATCTTTTAAAAGCATACCATTCACTAGTTTTTACTACACTGACAAGGTTTTGCAACAATCACTACTAATCCCAAAACATTTTTATCAACCCCAAAAGAAACTCCATAATCATTAGAATTAATTTCCTCCCTTCTTCCAGCCCTTGACAACCACTAGTCTGCTGCTATCTCTAATGATTTGTCTTCTCTGGACATTTCATAGAAACGGAATCATACAATAGGTAGTGTTTTGTGTCTAGGTGGTGGGGACTGGACCCAGGAGCTTGTGAACGCTACACAAAATGTTCTAGTGCAGAGCTAATCTCCAGCCCCTTTTATTTTGGGACAGGATCTCACTAGGTTGCCTAGCTGCCTTTCAACTTGCAACCTTCCTGCCTTGGGCTCCTGAATAACTGGGATTACAGGCTACACCACCACACTGGGTTAGACATACATTTTCATTTCTTTAGGGTAAATATTTAGAAGTGGAACTGCTTGGTCACAAAGGTTTAACTCCTTGGTGCTTCTATAAAATGGCAGCCATACCATTTTAACACTAACAATATGGAAGGATTCTGATTTCTCTACATTCCAGACATTACTTGTTATCTGTCTTTTTTTTTTTTGGTACTGGGGATCAAACTCAGGACCTTGCGCTTGCAAGGCAGGCACCAGAACCACTAAGCTAAATCCCAGGCCCTGTTATCTGTCTTTTTGATTATGGCCCTGCTTGTGGGTGTGAAGGCAGACTTCATTGTGGTTTGGATTTGCATCTCCTGATGGCTGATGGTGCTGAGCACCTTTTGATACACTTACTAGCCATGTGTATATGTTCCCTGGAGAAATGTCTATTCAGTGACTGATTTTAAAGTCTGGGTTTAACTACCATGTCATAATGCTTCAAGGCATCCTCAGGAGAGGGGAAGGAGCTAAACCAGCCCCAGGAAGCTGAGGCCACTGTCTGAGTGTCTGGGAGGAGAAGCTGGGCCTGAGCCAGGCCCTGGTGTGGGCTGAGGGGGTGGGGAGCCGACCACGCTGTTCTCCAGCCAGGCATTGTCTTTAGGAGGCTGAACTTCACAGCTGCTGTCCAAGAAAGGGCAAGGGCAATAGTGGGATGTCTCTGTCACTTTCATTGGCACTTGCTATATACTGGGAGACACTGAGGCCCAGGAAGTCTGGCTGGAGCCAGCCCTGGCCTCTCTCGTGAGTGGAACCCCACTCACCTGCTGCTCTGAGATGCACTGACTAAGACTACCTCCCAGGGGCCATCCAGGCCTGTCCTCTGAGCCATGGTCTGGCCTATCTCTAGTCCTGGGTCCTCTTCTGCCATATACTTTAATTCCTTCCACTGTTTCTGCCGAAGTAGGGGCTTGAGGAGCAGTGGGGCCTCTTGGGTTGTAGCAGCAGCATGGGAGAGCTTAAGCAGGCACATATCACATGTGAGATGTTTGGGGGTGCTCCGAAGTCCTCCTGCTCACGGCAACAAACCCCCTCCAAGAGCACTATTTAGAATCCGTCGTTTCCAACCTGGAAACTGGGCTGGAAAAAACCCATTGCTACTTGGAGCCCTAACGTGGGTCCAGATCCTGACCAAGAGACCAACCCCGCTGAGCAGGACACAACCTAAGCCAACAACAGGGGCCTGGCTGAGGCTGCCTGCCTAGAGCATCCTCAACAACCTTCCCACCTTCCTTCCTTTCCCTCAAAGCCTGGCATAAAGACAGGAAGACACCACTAGATGAGCCCTGGCCATGTGGCGACATTATCCTTTCTGGCAGGATGTTGCTTAATCCTTACAACAAGGATGTGAGCCAGGGTAGCAGCATCCACAGAGAAGTGAAATCACTTGTCCATGGTCACACAGCTGTGAAGGGACAAAGAGATCTGAACCTTTCTCTTCTTTCCAGGAAGTCCCTTGGAACCAGATACATGGATTCCGGTATGGGGCTGGTTAGCTTACCTCAGCTGCTAGTTTGTGCTTTCTTTGGGACAGTCTTGGCTGGTTTTGTATTTTTAGTGGGTATTCTGTATTTGTGTGTGTGTTGTGTGCCTATGTATTCCCATATTCACACAGCCTTTACCACCACTGTGGAAGTCTCCAAAGGCGAGGGGCTTTTTTGCCTTCTATCCTTTCTGAGGGAAGAACAGCAAGTAAGTGATCTTTAAACTCTATAGGGAGTGTTTTGCTTTTTTTTTTTTTTTAAACTCATAGGACAATAAGATTTCTTCTAGCTGTTCAAAGCCTCAAAATTTATAAAAAAATTTTTAGGTTCTTACCCTATGCCTTACATCAAAATGAATTCTGAGAGGGCCGGGGATTTAGCTCAGTGGTTTCGCCGCCTGCTGTGCAAGCACAAGGACCCGAGTTCGATCCCCGGTACCAAAAAATAAATAAATAAGTAAAATGAATTCTGACTTAGTGAGTAAATCTTAGGCCGGGGATGTAGCTCAGTGGTTCTGCTGCCTGCCTCACATGCACAAGGACCCAAGTTCAATCCCAGGTTCCAAAAAAAAAAAAAAAAAAAAAAATTTTGCTCAAACTTTTGGGCCCGGGATTTAGCTCAGTGGTTCCACTGCCTGCCTCGCAAGCTAAGGACCTGAGTTTGATCCCCGGTACCAAAAAAAAAAAAAAAAAAAGAAAATCTGAATCACTAACTAGAAAAATTAAGGTAAATATTTATTTAGCTTGTGTCTGAATGGTATCTGTCTTTCTAAGCTTGAAAGCAATGGAAGAAATCATTTGAAAAATGCTTACCACATTTGACTTTATAAAAACATAAAGGTTGTATAAAATCCAAAAATTATAAATTCAAGGAAAGAGACACATACAATATTTACCGCAAATATGGCAAAGGCTAATCTTAAGATTCATATACTTATTTAGGTGCTGGTGATCAAATCCAGGGCTTTGCATGTGCTAAATGCATGCTCTAGTACTCAACTACACACCTAGGCCTATATTTTTTGACAAATTATAGTTGCTTGTAATTATGGGTACACAGTGATGGTTTCGTATACCTAATCTTCAATATTTAAAGAGTTTGTAAATCAATAATAAAGTGTTTTATTGAAGAAAAATGAGCAAAGAGATTTTCCCCTTCCAACTATGACTATTTTGGAGTGAAGGTCCCAAGCCAGCTGGTACCTATCCTAGTTTGAGAAGGGTCCCCCTGAACTCAAAGACACCTGACGGAGGAACTTGGTGTGTTTCTATGTGGCTTCCTGGCCCAGGTGGTGGTGATGAACGAAGTCTGGGGAATGTAGACATTTGGAGGAGCTGATGCAGTCCACGTGGGTCTCAGCCCAGAGACTCGGTGGGAGGGGGATCCACCTGGAAGGCCCAGAGAATCACAACTCCTCCTTAGCCTTCAAGGAAGGACTGCCGCAGGAGATAAGCATCTCCACTGTGGTATCCAACTCTGCTCAGGGGCTTAAAACAAACCAAGCAGACCAATTACTTTCTGTTACTGCTTCATAATGACTGCAAAAGCCAAGCATCTTGGCCCTGACATCAAGAGGAAGGGCTGTGAAGACTGTGTACCTACGTGTTAAGCAATGCACTTATGTTACATATATGTCTCACCATAGACCGGCAAAATACCTATTATTATTATTCTCACTATGGATGTGGGACTACTCCAAAATCTGAAATCTGAAACATTTTGGATAAGGGACACTCAGCCTGTAGCTCCTAAGCACAACTAGCTCTGTGGCTGAGGCAGTGCGGAGAATCTGTGGCACAGTCCCTGCCTCCCAGACTTATAGTCTTCCCAGTTCTAATACCTTATGAGAAGAGCTGGGAGACAGAACAGTGTTTTGTGACCAGGGCCCTCAGCTAGGTACTCATCTGTCAAACAGGACTGCAGTTAAACACTTGCACCACCTGTGAAGGCCATATGCAGTGAGATCTTGCAGGTCTGAATAGGTGAAACCTGGCTTCTTTCGTACCGTGCTTGACTCCACCGCTCCTAGGGCTGGCTGGTCCTGTAGGAGGGAGGTGAGGGCAGATCTGGGGAGGTTCACACACCAACTTACTCTTTGGGGGGATTCAGGTCCTCAGGTCTTGTCTCAAAGAACTGTAGCACCTCCTCACACTGAGAGATATAGGGCGGCAGCTGGATCAGGGCCTAGAGAAGAGAGGCAGATGCTGATGAGTCCGAGGCAAAGCGAATATGAAAAGTGCCATGAGCCAGTGGTTCTTCTTCTTCTTCTTTTTTGTTTTGGTTTGTTGAGACAGGGTCTTGCTATGTAGTTTAGGCTGGCCTCCAACTCATGGCAATCCTCCTACCTCAGCCTGTTGAGTGCTGGGATTACAGGTGTGCACTACTACACCCAGCTGGAGCCAATGGTTCTTGAACATGGGATGGCATCAGAATTATCCAGAGGGCTTGTTAAAATTTGGATTGTGGGGTCCTGCCCCAGGGTTTCTGATTCAGTAGATTTGTGGTAGGGCCTGGGAATGTTCCCTGGTGATGCTGATGCTATTGGTTTGGGGAACACACACACAATAGATGTATATATACATACACATACAAATTGCAGGCATATTTATACAAATTATATGTATTTATACAATATCAGACCATGCTACTTTGTTAACAATGAACTGTGAACTTCATGCACTTTCATTTATTGGATATTGGTCGTCTATTGTATAGATATTACATATTTTAGTCAACTAGTCACCCACAGGTGGATATTTAGATTATGTCCACGTGCTTAAATGTCTTAATTCCTAGATCTGGAGCATTAAAGTGAAGAGACTGTTTTATGACTTGAATAGAAGTTGAGTAAGTCTCCAAGTTAATAAAGGGCTAACACGCTGGGTCTCAACTGGCCAATTCCATGCTAACCTGCCACAGTGAGTTATCAGCTGGCCCGTGACAGTATCTCAATCATATCTGCCAACAGGCTGGATGAGGCAGATAGAGAGTACAAAGTTAGACTAGCACCGGTTGTGTTGGTTTATCTACCAACACAATACCAGCAGGTATTCATTCATTTTGATTTGATGGGCATCTTCTTTTTACCCAGCACTGCACTGATGGGCTTGCTGATACTTTATTAGCCATGGAGTGGCTCCTGCTCTGCAGCTGGTCCCCAGGGACTGAAGTTTTCCAGGACTGAGGCAGAGAGTCTGGAGCAGGCACTTTCCTCCCCCACTTCCCATTCATTTCTAACACTTCTTCTTTCTGAATCTGGGCAGTGAGTGGTCTTCTGCCCCAGATGAACTACTGTCTGGGGCCGCCATGGGTCTCTTTTTCTTCTGAAGCCCTTTAGTTCTCGCAGTTGGAACCACATAATGAAGGAGCTGATTACATGCAGGATGATGGTGTGTCCTGCCTGCTTGGTGTGTAGGTCTGAGGCTCCTCCAGACTGCAATAACAACACTGTTTGAGGTTGGCTCAGCACTTGACAGCTCCCAAAATGCATGATCTGTCACTCTTCATAATCCTAGGAGAGCTGGCTATTTTCCCATTTTAGAGATGTAGTGACTTGGATTTGAGGGTCTAGGACTGACCGACTGCAATCTAAAGATAGTGCCATGATGGCTGCTACTCCCCTATCCCCCCTAATACCTAGACAGCACTGGGAATACTGTGGTATCAGGTTGAAAGTGTCTGCTGGATAAATAACATGAGGGAGGGCCCTGTGAGAGGAGAGCTGGGTGGGTCACATGAGCTCCTGAGGGCTGTCTTGGCCTGAAGGAGCCTCCCGAATGCTCCTTGCTAAGAGGGAAGAGGCCTCAATCAGACCAGTGAGGGAAGGGACAATGAACCCATGGAAACCTCCTGTCAATGCCAAATTCTCTTCTGGTTTTGAGCTATTCCTAGGAAGCAAAAGTCAAACCATACAATAAGCCAGTTACTAATATAAGGCAGTGCCATGAGCTTTGGTGCTGCCCTGTCATTTAGGATGGACTGGGTAATGGTAAAACATGATCTGGGGCTAAGGAAGAATTCTTCCAAAACCCTCTAGGATTGTCCTGGGTCTAGTCAGTACTGACAAAGCACCACAAGCCCAGGAAAACTCAGGTCTGTTCAGGAAGCAATCGTGGCCCTTTGTATAGATGTGGCCAATCCATGCAGGGATGAGAGGCCAGCAAGTCCTGTGTGGTGAGGGTAATGAAAAAAGAGCAGACAGAAGCAGCTTCTGATTCTGGCTGTCACTTCCTAGCTGTGTAAATCTGGCCAAGTCCTATTGCTTCTCTGAGCCTCAGTCTGGTCATCTGTAAAATGGAAACAAATACCCACCTGGGAAGGCTGAGCTGCAGAATAAGCAAGGAAGTGGCTGTATGGTCTCTGTCACATACTAGCTGCTTGATAAACATCAGTCAACTCTTGGGCTCTTTGTATAATAATATGGTGGTTCTCAGAGGCAATTTAAGAGGCAATAAGAGGATTCTGTTAAATAATACATGGGCTAAGAATTTCGAAAGCATGTGTTTCTCAGTTTTCTTCACGTGTTTCTCTCTCCAAAAAGAATGCCCCAGAGAGGTGACACATCCCTAGCTTGCTTTCTGAGAGCGGGAGCAGGCTTTGGATAGCCTCAGGTAGTCACGCAACACCAGCTTGGTAGATTTAAAAACATTTTCTTTTGGTACCGGGGATTGAACTCAGGGCCTTGTGCTTTCAAGGCAGGTGTGGTGCCGCTGAGCTAAATCCCCAGTCCTAAAAACATTTTTTTTTGTTTTATTGTTTTTATTTTTCCTCTTTTGGTACATAACACTTATTTTATATTATGGTTGTGATATACAGTTTCCTCTAAAATAATTTTTTTTGGGGTGCTGTTGGGGATGGAATGCTAGGCCTTGCACATGCTAAACAGTGCTCTACCAGAAAGGTACACTTTCAGTCCTAAAATATATCATTTTAAGAAACTTAAAAATAAAAAGTAAGTTAATTTAAGAAAAAGTATTAGTAATAGTATATGACAAAAGTCTGGAAGGGAGCTCTTTAGTGACTGGAGTCTAGTAAATTCTGTCTACAGTTTTCTTTAAAATACTGTACTACAGCAAGGGCTACACCTCACGCATGTGCATATTTCTGTGTGCATGTCCAATTTAAGCTATTCCCTCATGATGGTTAGTTAATGTTTGAAGTTCCTTCTTTGGGAACAAGTCCTTTAGCAAGTAGACTCTGTTATAGGCTGAATACAGTTTGTCCTCTCTAAAACTCATATGGAAATTTAATCACCATTGTGGCACTATTGGGATGTAGGCTTATGCAAGTTATTTGGGTCAAAGAGGCAGAATTCTCATGAATAAATTAATGCCTTTTTCCCCCACTGAGTGACGTTTTGCTCGAAGGTCTGTATTAGTTACCATGAGAGAGGGTTGTTATACATACAGTGAGGCCGCCTGTCATGTTCTGCTGTTTTGTATGCACCCACTTGATCTTCTGCTCTCACGAGTTGAAGCAGCATGAGGCCTTCACTGGCACCCTATTCTTTGACTTCCCAGCCATCAGAACCAAAATAAACCCTTTTCCTTTACAGATCACAATTACCTAGTCTCGCGTATTATGTTATAGCCACAGCAAATGGACTAAGGTTAAATCAGAAGGTCTCACTTTAGAAAAGGGCATTTCAAGACTTCAGCTGTTTATCTCGGATCAAAACCACAGCTTGTATTCATTAACATTTGTTAGAAACAATTTCTTTCTTTTACCAGTGAAACGAGAAATGTTCTAGAAGTATTTTCAGTTGCTCAGACTCTTGCATAAACAAAAGCTGGTGAGCCCAGTATCACATATACATCCTTCAGAATCATGCCCTGGGTCTAGAATTCTGGACTAGTTCTGTGTTCAGCCTTTTCTTGAGGATTTTATTGTCAGGCCATGCTTAGGATGAACTGATCTTGCCCCCAGAATGTGTTCCATCCGCCTCAAGTAATCACTTACATCGAATGGAGCCTGATAGTCAGCTGCTATTTCAATGAGATCCCAGGACAACTTAGTGGCTGTTTATGAGGCTGCATGATAATAAATGCATGTATGTGCAGCAAGAGTCAGTGAAGTCAGGTTTTTATTGTATCTTTCAACAAACAAAAGTTCTTAAATGTAATGTAGGCAAGTACATCAATTGTTTTATGGTTGATACTTTTTCTGTCTTTAGAAATCCTTCTATGCACAGAGGTTATGAAGATGTTTTCCTATTTTTGGCTTCTAAAACATTTTGCAGCAGTGCCTCTTAGAATTACGTCTTTAATTTTCTTAGAAATGATAAATGATTTCATGTGTGTTGTGAGGTAGGGGTTAGTTATCTTTTTTGTTTTTTCCCTACACTAATACTCATTTATTGACAAATCTATCAATTTCCCAATGATCTCCCAGGATGCCTTTGTCAGTATCAAAGTCTCCAAATATATGTGGATCTACTTCTGGGTTCTCAATTTTGTTCTAGTGTCTTTTCTATCCTTGTGTCAACACTACACTCTGCTAATTACCATAACTTTTTTTTTTTTTGGTACCGGGGATCGAACTCAGGTCCTTGTGCTGGCACAGCAGGCAGCGAAACCACTGAGCTAAATCCCCAGCCCTTAATTACCATAACTTTACAATAGGTCTGACAGAAAAGAAAGATTTTCCATTATAATACTCAACGGGTAGGTACGTATGAAGATATCATATCTACAGCCCTTGTCTATCTCCATCTATTGGAAATTGCCAGTTTCTACTAAATAAAGCTAATTGTGATAGATCAAACTGGCTTAAGTCAGTTCATAATGATTCAATAACTGATACCCAAATGTTATAGTACAGCCTAATTAGTCTGTAAAACTGCAGATCTTGCAACAAAAAGGACAGTTTCATCTCCTTCCAGGAGGTCAGTTCCCCTGAAGCTGAGCCAAGGGAATATGGCCAACCAAACTCCAAAAATATCTGCTCTGTTCTTATGATTCATTAATAGCAGGGGATGATAAGTTCCATGTGGCTCATATAACCTAAGCAGTTTCTTCCCTGTGGTTAATCCAGATGAATTCATGATCTCTGTATCATTCCAAGCTCCATGCAGCTGCATGCAGCTGCTTTAATCCCTTATTGCCACTAAAATTTCTTTTTCAAAATCAAGAGTCCAGAGGCTGGGGAAGCCCTGGGTAAAAGGAAAGTCTGACTCTAGGAGGTGTCCCTCAGGTGGGCTGGGGAAGAAACAGATAGGATAATCTGGGCTGAGGCACAACAGCTTATGGGGAAGGTACTAGCAGGACCTTCCCAGCAAGATGACCCCAAGGTCCAAAGTCCCTGCCAGCAGAGACTTGACAAAGGAATGTCATCTCCAGGGTGGGGAATCCAGACTTCAGAAGTTAGAAAAGGGATAAAAAGAAAACCTAAATTTTCCCGTGAGCATTGGAACGCAGGAGTATTGCCTTTGTGCTTGAATGACTGTCTCTGCCCCTAACCTTCAGCCCTTTTAAAGAATATACTTAGGAGAGAGATCTGAGTTTATCTGCTTGTATCGGTCTGTTTTCTACTGCTATAACAAAATAACCTGAGGCTGGGCACTATGTAAAGTGAAGAGGTTTATTTGGCTCATGATTCTGGTGACTCTAAAGTCCAAACAACATGGCACTGGCATCCTGGCAAGAGTTCTATGTGAATCACAACATGGTGGAGAAATGGAAAGAGAACTAGCCATATGCAAAAGGGGCCAAGCACACAGTGTGGTCTTGCTTTATAATAAGTGGCTCTCAAGAGAACTATCTCACTTTGAAATTGGCATTGATCCCTTCCAACAGTGATGTCCTGCGACCTAACTACTTTGCAGTTGGACCCACTCTCAAAGGCTCTATCACCCAAACACTGCCATACTGGGGACCAAGCTTCCAGGACATGAACCTTTAGGGACCACACTCGAGTGATAGCACTGCCTCTGAGATACATGCTTCAATACTCTGACCTCTTGCACTGTCACTCTCTTAGAGAGGTAACCCTAAGTGAAATGTGAGTACTGAAGTATAAAAGGCCCGGGTTCAATGCTCAAACTCTCCAATGCTGGTTACTGGAAGTAACTCTGTTGGGCCTCCATTTCCTCATCTACATAATGGGAATAATAAAATCTACTCTGAAAAGTTGCTAGAGGGATGAAATGAGGTCATGTCTGAAAAGAGCAGACACTCAAATGGGAGTGGTTTTCTGGCCTTCCTTGAAGTCTCCTGCCAGAGAAGGGTCATCTGTCCCCACATTGCCCCCTTTCATTCAACCTTTTTTTGTAGATTTATTGCAGTATAATTTACATACCATCATATTTACCCATTATAAATGCACAATTCCATGATATTTAGTAAATTATGGAGTTGTGCAATCATTACCACAATTTAGTTTTAGAATTTTTCCACCACCTCAAAATTCTCCCCACCTAATTTGCAGTCCATCTCTACTACTGCCCTCAGGCCCAGGAAACCACTGATCTGCTTTCTGTTGCTACAAATTTGCCTTTTCTGCACATTTTACATAGATGGAATCACACCATATGTAGTCTTTTGCATCTGGCTTTGATCACTTAGCATCATGCTTTTGTGATTTATAAAGGTTGTAGCATTTATCAGTATTTCATTGCTTTATATTGCTAAATATATTCTATTGTATGGATATTTCACATTTTCATCCATTCACCAACTGACAAGACATGCATATTACTTCCAGCTTTGGCCTATTGTGAATTAACGCTGTTATGAGCATTTGCATCTAAGTCTTTGGGTGGACATAAATTTCAATGCTTTTAAGTATATACCTAAGAGTGGTCATGGTGTAAGTATAACTTTTTTTTTGGTGCCAGAGATCGAACTTGGGACCTTGTGCTTGCGAAGCAGGTGGTAGAACCACTGAGCTAAATCTCCAGCCTGGGGAAAGTATAACTTGAAGAAATTGCCAAAATGTTTTCCAAAGTGGCTTCCCATTTTATGTCCACACCAGAATAAGGGATCCAGTTTTTCTTTATCTTCACCAATATTTTGTGTTATCATCTGCCTTATTGATCACAGCCATCCTAGTGCCTGTGCAGGTTTTAATTTCAATGACCCTAATGACTAATGATGCTGGGCATATTTTCATGTGGTAGTCATTTCTTTGTCTTCTTGGGTGAAATTACTATTGAAGTCTTTCCCCATTTTAATATTGGCTTGTCTTCTTGAGTTGTAAGAACTTTTCATGTATTGTTAACACAAGTTCTTTATCAGATATATGATTTAAAATTATTTTTACCCAATCACTGCATTTTCATAATGGCATCTTCTGAAGCAGAGAAGTTCCAAAGTATATTTAATGAAGTCCAATTGTATCAATCTTTTTTTTTTCTTTTTTGGTACCGGGGATCGAACTTGGGTCCTTGCACTTGCGCAGCAGGTGACAAAGCCACTGGGCTAAATCCCCGGCTGTATCAATCTTTTTTAGGGCTCACTTTTTTTTTTTTGGTATTGGGGATCGAACTCGGGTCCTTGCACTTCCAAGGCAGGCGCCAGAACCACTGAGCTAAATCCCCAGCCCTAGGGCTCATATTTTTGGTGGCATATTAATAACTTCTTTGCCTAACCCATGGTTGTGAGGATTTTCACCTATGTTTTCTTATAGCAGTTTACAGTGTTTAGTTCTATGGTCTATTTTGAGTTGATCTTTTATATGGTATGATATAAAGGCTTAATTTTATTTATTGGCATATATATAGCTGTTATGGGTTTAATTGTGTCTTCCCCTCATTCCTAAATTCAGACTAAGTCCTAAACCCCAGTATCTCAGAATGTGACGAGCATTAGAAATAGGGCCTTTAGAGAGGTAATTTAAGATTAACCAAAGCCATGAGAGATAGACCTTAATCCAGTATAACCAGAGTCCTTAGAAGAAGAGGTGACGATATAGACATATACAGAGAAAAGACCATATGTGACATCACAGGGAGAAGTCAGCTATCCACAAGCCAAGGAAAAGTCCACAAAAGCCCTGTTATTTGGACTTCTGTTTTCCAGAACTGTGATAAATTTCTGTTGTTTAAGCCACTCACTTTGTGATCATTTTTTAATGAAACTAATGCAATGGCTAGTAGCTGATTATCCCAACTGCTTATGAAAAAGACAATCCTTTTCCCATTGAATTGTCTGGGCACCTTTGTTGAGTACCCACTGACCATATATTTTGTATGAGTTTATTTCTAGACTCCCAGTGCTGTGTCCTTAATCTATATGCTTATTTATTTATTTATTGATACTGAGAATCGATCTCAGGACCTTGCACTTACGAGGCAGGCGGCAGAACCACTGAGCTAAATCCCCGGCCCCATATGCTTATCTTTTTTTTTTTTGGTGCTGGGGATTGAACTTGGGACCTTGCGCTTATGAGGCAGACACCAGAACCACTGAGCTAAATCCCTGGCCCCTCATATGTTTATCTTTATGTCAGTACCATACTGTCTTGATTACTGTAGCTTCATAGTTTTTGGAAATGGCTATTATGACTCCTCTGATTTTGTTCTTTTTCAAAAGTGTTTTGATCATTTGAGGTCCTTTGGATTTCTACATATACTTTAGGATCAGCTTGTCAATTCTACAAAAAAAGCCTACTAAGATTTGACAGGGAATACATACAATATAGAGACCAATTTGGGGAGAACTGCCATTTTAACAATATCAAGACTGGGCATTGTGGCACACGCCTGTAATCCCAGCACTTCAGAGGCTGAGGCAGGAGGATCATCACAAGATCGAGGCCAGCCTGGACTACATAGTGAGTTCAAGGCCAGCCTGAATTACGTGGTGAAAACCTGTCTCAAAAAACAAACAACAGGGGCCGGGGATTTAGCTCCGTGTTTGATCCCTGATACCAAAACAAAGCAAAACAAACAACAACAAAAACAAAAATCAGGTCTTCCAATCCATTACTATGGAATGTCTCTTCATTAATTGAGATCTTCTTTCATTTCTTCTTGCAATGTATTATAGTTTCAGTGCACAAATCTTGCACTTCTATTGTTAAGTTTATTTCTAAGTATTTTATCCTTTTTGATGCTATTATGACTAGAACTGCTTTCTTAATTTCATTTCTGCAGTATTCAGTCTTTGCATATAGAATCACAATTGATTTCTGTCAATTATATATCCTATGATCTTACTAAACTCCTTTATTGTTTCGAGTGTGTGTGTGTGTGTGTGTGTGCGCGCGCGTGCGTGCATGCGTCTTACGACTTTCAACAGACAAAATCATGACATTTGTTAATCAAGGAAACTCTACTCCTTCTTTCCTAATCTGGATGCCTTTTATTTACCTTTTTTTAGGTGCTGACACTGGTTAGCTCCTTCAGCACAATATGAAACAGAGGTGGTGAGGGTGAACTTGTTTGTTCCTGATCAAAGGTGGAAATCATTCATGGCTCCATTTTAAGGCATCTATTCCAATTCCCACTATTGAAACTTGCTATGTAAGGTGGAGAAATAAATACTAAAAGCAAGAGAAGCTAAAAAAACAGGGTTCTTTTCTGACCACAACCTCCAATCAATTGAAATATAACCAAAAGGCAGGGCTCTTGTTGTTTCAAACATTCAAGGGATGGGCTGGGGATTTAGCTCATTGGTGCCAACACCTGCCTTGCAAGCACAAGGTCCTGAGTTGGATCCCTGGTACCAAAAACCAAAACAAAACAAACCCCCCCCACATTCAAAGGAGAGGAAGCCACCCAACAGCAAGGGCTGTTGAATAACTTCTGGAACATTCACACACAACGAAGTACTATGCAGCTATTAAAAGTAGGCTCATAAAGATTGCTTAATAGTAGGGAGAAATTCTTATGTCACAATAATAAGACAAAAGAAAAAGAACATACATTATATAGGATGTTCTCACTCCATAAAGAAATGCTCACATGGAGAAAAGATGGCAAGAAAATATGTGAAACTTTTAGTAATGTTTGCTTCTGGGCTGAGGGATCCTAGGTGATTTATTTTTCTAATTTCATTCAACTGCATAAATTATTCACAATGAGTATCTTGCAGAAAGGAAAACAAAACAGAACACCCACAGGGAAGACTGTGTTGGCGGTTCTCAGCCTTACCTTACAGTATTCATCAATTGGTATCAGGCGTTTGACAGCCACGTCCCGGATGTGGCTTCGTCGGAAAAGGATTTTCCCTGCAAAAGATGAGAGCACACACAACACCATAAGGGAGCAGCAACCTTAGAGGGGAAGCCCTGAGTGGGACCACAATTCCTGGCTGTCACCCCCTGCATGGTTCTCTTAACCCTTGTTCACACTCAGCTCTAGTTCAAGGGCTTGGGAGGATGAGACACCGTGAATAAGTTTTATTATTTTTGGCGCTGGGGATTGCACTCAGAGCCCTGTGCATGCTAAGCACACGCACTCTATCACTGAGCTACATCTCCAGCCCCACCCAGGAATAAAGTTTTTAAAAATATTTTTAAATTAAGACACAGTAATTGTCCATATTTATGGGGTACAGTGTGGCATTTCCATACATGTATACAATGTGTAATGATCAGGCCAGGTTAATTATCAGGTCCAACCCCTCCACATTTATCATTTCTCTATGCTAGAAACATCCCAAATCTTCTCTGCTAGTATTATGAAATGTAAAATTAATTTTTCTTACCCATTGTTACTCTATTGTGCTGTAAAACATCAGCAGCTAACCCCCCTGTTCAACTGCAGTCATGTCCCCTAACTATCCTCTCCTTATCCACTCTTCCTAGACTGTTGTAACTACTATTCTACTCTCTATGTCTGAGATCAACTAAATTTTAGCTCCACATGTAAGTGAGTCCATGCAGTATTTGTCTTTCTGTGTCTGACTTCCAGTGAGGAGGTTTTGATGAAGTAAGGGAGGCTGGAAACATCCCACGGAGGGAAGGGCCTCCTACCTTATGAGGACCTGGTGTTATGAGCTTCTCTGCAACCCTAGGGTTCCTCAGACTGGTTGAGCAGAACAACAGACACTCAGGTCTCCCCTAGCCTGGCAGTTTAGCTTGCTTTTCTTCCCTTTCCTCATTCACCTTCTGCTTCCACCTCATGTTCCCCCAAACTTCCATGCTCTTTCCTGATGGTCTGTCTTTCTGCTATCTCTACACTTATTAGAAAAGAAAATCTCCAGAAAATGCCTCAAAGGATTCAACATGTTTGTCTTTGGAGGGATGGAAAACAGACTGTTTTTTTCATTATACTGTCCCCCAAAGCTCCTACTGTAAACATTTATTACTTCTAAAATCAGAAAAATTTCATGTTATACAAAATGAAAAGCAAAAGCAAAAACAAAAACAAAACCACTCAGACTATTTAGGGAAGGGGAAAGGTGTTTACAACCTGTTTTCCCCACAAGTGATGATGCCTTCTGTCCTTTACTCATTCGCTCTGTGGGCACAGCCTCTATGGGACCCCTTTCTGTGCCCATGCTGGGGACTGGCAAGGAGCAGGACAGCTGACAACTGTGTTCCCCACCAGGGAAGGACCCAGCTGACATTCTGGGTGGGGCAACCCTCCCTTGGGTGGGACTTGTCCCCCCCCCCCACAGGATGTTTAGCATCCTTAGTCCAAATCCAGACAAAACTGGTAGCCTTCCCACCTCAGGGATGTGATAACCAAATTTCCACCTATACTGGCCTTCATGGGTGGGACTACTTGCAACCTCTGGGAGTGTCCTGTATCTTTGGAAAAATAAGAAATGTATGCCTAAAGAGAAATCCTGGACTGCAAATGCTTCCTGTCCTCTCATTTATTCCTCCAAGTGTGAAAGGACTCCCTAACCAAAAATAGTTTGGTCTCATTTTGGAACAAAATCCCTTGGGCAGATCAGGAGAAGGGAGGGAGTGGGTGTACAGGCTTCTTACTGAAAAGGCTGAGAGCAAGCAGGCTCAAAATATTTACAATCAGCATGGGGTTAGCGCTGGCCCTCTGCAAAAGGCAGGCTTGTCCTGAAGTCACCACACAATTAAAGAGCCCAATGCTAAGATTCACCCAGGACAGGGATGGGGATTTAGCTCAGTGGTTCTGCCACCTGCCTTGCAAGCGCAGGATCCTGAGTTCGATTCCCAGTACCAAAAAGAAAAGATTCACCCAGGGTTGGACCTGCACTGGGCTCAACCTGCAAGAGCCCAAAGAGAAGCATGGAAAACTTATGTGGCCTCAGTGTTTTCAGGGGTGCGACACAGGACAAACGTGCCATTTCTCTTCCTGGGTGCCTTGGTGGGATGGGGCTTTCTGGGGAACAACTGGTCCCCAGTCAGCAAAGGGGGCAGAAGGAGAGCAGCCTGCTAGAAAGGCCATGGGGAATGAATGCGTTTAAACGGGAGAATATAAAATAGGAGAGCAGCCCCTCTGTCTTAGAAGTAATCAGCACAGTGGCTGGACTTTAGTCAGCACTCAGAAAATAATTACTTTTCTTCCCCCAAAGCAGATTTGGTGATACTGTGATACTCTAATTGAGAGCACATCAATTCCTTCTTCAAGCTCAGCCTCCTGGAACCCAGCCTCTGGTGGGCATCAGGCCATTTGCCCACAGAGAGTGGGAGGTGTGCTCGGGTCAGAGCTGGCACCACCTCAGCCAGGGGGTCAGTGTCCTTGTCTGCGCCTGCTGGGAAGCGGTTCTGTGGGGAAGGAGGGAGCACCTGCTGCCCTCCCAGGATGGAAAGGGTGCTGGGAGGAGAGCAAAGCTTTGGGGGGAATGGGCCGGCTTTTGTTTTCCACAGTGGAGGGAGGCCAAACTGTAATTCTTATTTTTCAAGCTGCATTCTCTGCCAAGTTGGCTCCCCCAGCTCCTGCTGGGATGGAAAACTGCACAAGCCATCCCCTCCCCCATCCCTGCGCTAACATGAGCCTTGCCTTTGTTCTGCTGAGGCGGCAGTCTGGGCAGAAAACTGACCCTAGGAGAGGGACTCTGCACCCGCCCCCGGGCCTCCAGAAAAGCTGGGAGGTGGGCTCAGGAGGGAAGTGCCAGGGGTCCTGGGGCCCAAGGGGGAATCTCCAAGCTCCAAGTAGGAGTGCTGAGCAGGGACAAAGGGGCCAAGTTTTGAGGAACAGTGTTTTTATTAATTCTTGGGTGGAAAAGGATTACATAACCATGAAAGCTTTTAAGAGTTTGGGAGAGGGTTGGGCTCGAGTTCTCTGTCCTGAGAAGTTTTTCCAGTAGTGGTTTTGCCTTTCACCCAGAAAAAAAAGCTCTTACTTACTGCTTTCCCCTTCCTTTCTTGAAGAGAAACCTACATTTAGAGCACAGTTTAACTTGAATATCACTTAAATTCTCAATCATTTAAAGATGACTCCAACACATGAAACAAAGAAATCCCAACAGAGTATCCCGGGGCTCTGTTCCTGCTTTGCTGAGAACTTCTATGTGCCAGAGACTGAGCCTTATAAAGCAAGGATCACTGTCCTCCTTTAAAGAGGGAGAAACTGAGGCTCCGAGGTGATGTCCCCTGCTTGAAGTCACATGGTTGACTTGTTAAGATTCCAAAACATGTGCTTCGGATCCCTGATATTTGGCCACTGCAGCTGGCACATAGAGTTTTCTCCAGCAGGCAAAAATTTCCAGCATGGTCGTTTGCTTTCCCACAGCATGGCCACTCTCTGTTTTTAGGGCAAGGATTCCCCCAAAGGATGGGGCCTGGGAGACACATCTACCCTGCCTCTGAGCCTGTTCAGGCACGATGATACCTGGAAGAACCCATTGATGTTCTGGACTGCAGAACTCAAGTGGCCCCAGGACTGTTCCCTTGCCTGAAAAAGCAAAAAGATCTAAAGGGTCCCTCCAGCTGGAAATATCTGTGACTTAGGGAGACTGTCAATTTGTTGATTATCTATAACATAAAAACAGTATAGTGAGGGCCAGGGATTTAGCTCAGTGGTTCCACTGCCTGCCTCAAAAGCACAAGGTCTCGAGTTCGATCCCCAGTACCGGCCCCCCCAAACCCAGTATAGTGTTTGGTGACCCGTAGCTATCTGTCAGGTATTTACATAATGCTCAAACAACTTTATCATTTAAGGACCATTATTATCTCCAGTTTACAAATGAAGATATAAAACTTAATGCACTTGTCATTTAAAGAGCTGGTGAGTGGGGAACACTGGGCTTAGAATCCAAGTCTTTTGACTCCTGGTGTGACATTCAGAGATAGCCATATCTGTGTGTGAATCCCAGTTCTGCCTCTGTGCAAACGCTTATAGTTCTCTGAGCCTCAGTTTCCTCATCTGTGAAACAGTCACAGAAATGCCTACCCTGCAGGGTTAGTCCTTGGGGGACTAAAGGAGGTAATAAATATAAAGCACTTACCCCAGCAACTGGCCTAGAGTAGACAGCCAATAAATGCGAGCTATTAGGACTTGAAGCAAGAACACTGGTTTAGATAATCCCCCTTTTTTCCCCAGCTGCAGCCTTCATGCCATTCTTTGGTAAGAAAGTTTTTTTGGGGGGGTGGGGGCAGTGGGATACTGACTGCTCTGAGAATAGAGATCAGCCAAAATTGCGTTAAATCCTCCCCAGCAGCCAGTGTGACATCTGGTACTCAGAAAGCTTTTGGTAGCTGTAGTAGGCAAGGAGGAAAAATTTCTACAATGACCCCCTCCAACAATGTCCCGTCCTAATCCCTAGAGTCTTTGTATGTTATAAGATATTATATCCTCACTTTCTCCTTAAGAGAAGTGCATTATCCTGGATTAGCCAGGTAACTGCATGGGCCTTTATAAAGAGACAGCTTTCCCTTACTTGTGGCAGAAGGAGAAGTCAGAGGGATTTGAAGCCTAAGAAAAATCCAGTGGCCCATTTGTAGGCTCAAATGTGAAGCTATCATATGATAAGGAATGCAGGCAACTTCCAAACACTGAGAGGGCCCTCAGCTGATAGCCAATGAGTAGATGGATGGGGAATCTTGGTCCAGTAGCTGTAAGGAACTGAATTCTGCCACAGTGTGAGTGAGGATAACAGTGGATTCTTCCTTAGAGCCTCCAGGTAAGAGCTCAGCCTAGACGACACCTTGATTTTGTTTGGCTTTGTGGGAGCCTGTATGGAATTCTGACCCACAGAACTGTGAGGGAATAAATGGGTGTTGTTTTACTCATATGCTATTAATTTGGTGATAATCTACGATGCAGGAAAACTAACACAATAGCTATACTAATAGAAGCTGCCCACAAACTTTTAAGCTCTGGTGATTCCAGTTTGAGAGATGGGAGGAGCCGAGAATCCCAGAGGTGACGGGTCTTGCCCAAGGTCACATACCCAGTAATGATGTAGCAACTAACTCCAAAGCCCATATTCTTAGTCATTTATGCCCATGACCAGGATTCTGGTCAGGGGGGAATGTTCCCTGATGAAGGAGGTCAGTTCCTAAGCTGTCTTGAGAGATATGGGAGCTGTTTAGTAGTTCCCAGCATCCCTGTTTGAGAGCATGCATGTCACCCACCTGGCAGAAAGGGAATGATTCGCTGTTTAGGGTCCTTCTGTCCTCCTTCCATGGGAAATTTGTCCAACATTTGCATCTACATGGGGAGAGAATACCAAAAGCAAAAACTTTTCATAATGCAACAAAGGCATTTCTGACATTTTCAAGAAATTATGGGAAAATGTGATCTGTTCTACATAAAAGTTCACTTTGTCCAGCTTTTCAAAAAATGGAAGCAGGGGTCAGGGATTTAGGTCAGTGGTTCCGCTGTCTGCCTTGCAAGCGGAAGGTCCCGAGTTCAATCCCTGGTACCAAAAAAAAAAAAAAAAAGTGGAAGCAATGGGGAAAGCAATTTCATCTAGATTAGGGACCCCATGAAGACAATTTTTTTCTTTTTCTTTTTTTTTTTCTTTGGTACCAGGGATTGAACTCAGGACCTTGTGCTCCCAGTGCCACTGAGCTGATTCCTCAGCTCTGAAAACAATTTCCTTTTATAAAATTAATTTTATTGGTACTTTTTTTTGTATATCCTTTTATTGGTACATTTTAGGTGTACAATATAATGACATTCATCATTGGAGATATGCACCTTTACATAATCTCTCTTGGTTCTTATTTTTTTCCCCTTCCCCTGCCCTCCTTTCAACCCATCCATCCCTCCCTATTTACAAAGACTTTGTTTCCATTTTTTCATATTAATTCCATTCTTTTTTCCTTTCCCCTTCCCCTCCTACTTCCCCTTCCCCCCTTTTCTTCCTATTTCACATTATCTATTATACCTTTTAGTCCTTATTTACACTTTCAGTTTCTCACACTAGAGAAACTATTTGGTATTTACATATGTGTGTTCTATTTATTTCACTTAAGAGTATCGCCTTGATGTGCATCCATTTAGCTATAAATGTCTCTAATTTTTCATTTTTAATGGCTGAGTAGTACTCCATTTTGTAAAAAAACCCACATTTTCTTTATCCAGTCTCTGGTTGATGGGCAAAATTGGGCTGCTTCCAAGTTTTAGCTATAACAAATTGTGCTGCTATGAACATGGGTGCACATATATCCTGTGGTATGATTCTTTTAATTCTTTGGGGGAAGATATTCAGCAGGGGAATAGCTGGGTCAAATGGGACTTCCAGTCCTAGTTCTCTGAGGTATCTCCATACTGATTTCCACAGTGGTTGCACCAGTCTACACTCCCACCAGCAGTGGAGCAGGGTTCCTCTTTCCTCACAGCCCTGCCAGCATTTGTATTGGTTGATGTCATGATAGCAGCCATTCTTTGTGGGGTGAGGTGGAATCGCAAGTGTTGTTTTCATTTGCATCTCTCGAATGACCAGTGATGAAGACTTTTGGTGGACTTCTTGGGGTCTTCCATATAGAGTATCATGTCATCTGCAAATAATGACAATTTGACTTCTTTGTTTTCTATCTTTATTCCTTTTATTTCTTTCTCTTGTCTAAGACAATTTCTTACATCAACAGCTGCCATACTGTGAAAGCTAAGAGTTGCCCAAGGCCATTCTTGGTTTTCCTGGGAGTTTCTGGCCATGAGACCTAAAGTGTGAAGAATACCTTCAGAGCCATCAGAATTTCATGGACAGAAGACTATCCTCTTTCCTAAGAACTGTCAGGTTGTGTTAGGGAATAAACAATCAAGAATCCCCTTTTCTGATTAAGTTATGCCTAGGACATCATTTTACCCCTTGACTTTCTAAGAAGTCCTCAGCTTGGCTCAGGAGACAGCTTTGCACTTGACTGTGCCCTAGATGCAGGGGATACAGTAATGAGAGGATTCGTAGTCTCAAGAGGAGCCTGCAAAATACACTGTTAATACAAGGTGGTGCTGGAGGCACCATGAGCTAGCTAGGGGTAGGCTGCCGGGGGCAGAAGAGTGGGTAGAGAAGGAAGGGGGCATGGTTTATTTAATAGCACCATAACTGCATCTCTGACATTTTAAAGAATTAATGTGTAATGTTTCACTTGGTATTCAAAATTGCAAGATCTGCTGCTTACTCCCTGTGTGTGAGATAAAACCTTTCAGGGCCTCATTTTTAAGTCTGCCATAATGATAGCAACTTACAGCATTACTCTATGGATTAAAACTGGACCGTGATAGTCACTAATGTTATCATCAAATATTCCTAGTACTTTTTCTTAGCACAGGATACTTATAGAGTGGACCTTTGACTTATGAACTCAACTTATTCAAGAAGGCTGGTTGTAACACAAGTTGGTCAACTGAAGGCTCAGGCTCCTCTACACAGCCTTCCAAGTCTCTCTGGTGTACACAGGCAGATCTCAGTGTCCTTAGAGAGACATTGGCATAGGATTTCTCAATTAGCCCCATACAGGAAAGGATATTGTAATGTTCCTTCCAGAATTCTTTTTTTTTGGTACTAGGGATCGAACTCAGGACCTTGCACTTGCAAGGCAGGTGGTGGAACCACCGAGCTAAATCCCCGGCCCCGTTCCAGAGCTCTTTAAGGGTTAAATCTGCATCTGAGACCAGCTGGAAGCGCAAGTTGGTTGTAATTCAAGACTTTGGTCGTAAGTTAAAACTCAAATCCTGGTCATAACTGAAGTTGTTCATATGTCAGGCCAGTTATAATCCGAGGGTCCACTGTAATTTCCCCATGTCCTTGAAGTGGGCCAATTCTATGTGATCAGAAGACATGTGTCACATGAGGGTGAAGATTTATGATTGGTACATGGTTTACATTCTCTAGTTCCCTCTGCCATGGGTGGGGCTGGTCACAGTCTAGACAATGGATACTCTGTCAGTGGGGGCACTGCAGTGGGCAGGGGTCAGGGCATGCAGAAACCATTGATGGCTGTGTTACCAGAAAGACACAAGATGCCTTTGTTGTCTAGTGAGGCTTTTGTTATAGCAGCAATCTGTGACCCACTCTGTTTGGTATATGGGTCAAGGAGTCAAAGCAGATGGAGAAGGAGTCCTGACCCTCCTGAAGTAATGGTTGGCATGTGAAAAGCCCACCATGACTGTACCTCAAGGAGAGAGTTACCCTGGCTCTAGATCTGTCCCTCTGTTAAAATGAAAGAAGCTGGGAAAAATCCAGAAGAAATGAGAAGAGCTATTGATTGGGTAGGCATTTGGAAGGGGCAACAGTTTCCCATGTGGAAGAGGAGAGAAATGTGCCTATTGAGCACCTACTGTATGCAAGGGATACACTAGATTCTTCAGAAACCTTCCCTTGTGAAATCCTCAGAATACCCCTGAGCATGGACAATAGTATCCTGGAAACTCCAGGCCAGGGGAGTGAAGCAATCTGTCTAGGGGCCTGGAGCCAGCAATGTGGCAGGGACAGAGATGGAAGCTCATGTGTTCCTTCGTCATCACATCATCCACCCAATCCTGCACCCCCAGTGCTATGAAGGCAATGAAAGAGAAGAGGGTCATTTTTCCAGGCTGGTACTCCCTGCCTCTTCTGTGCTGTTTTGTCTGACGCCCCTCAGGTAGGTGGGCCTGCCTGTTTGGCTAGTATCCTAAAAAGCTGCTGGGCTCACAGGTTTGTCCCAAAGCCGGGGCTCAACATACTATCCACAGGTATTTTGTTTTGTTCTGCAGTGCTGGGAATTGAACCCAGGGCCTGCACATGCTAGACAAGCCCTCTATCCCTGAGTTATGCCCCGGCCCATTATCTATAGTTTTATTTGTGGTTTTCAGTCACTGATCCCTGCTCTGTTCTGTGTGGTAGTGGGGAAATACTCGATCCACTCCCCTTCATATACTGGTGAGACCACTCAAGATTTTCTCTTGAAAAGGGAAGCATCCTTTTAAGAATCCAAGAGCTCTTTACTAGTACATAGATGGCACTCAATAAAAACTGGCAGAACTAGATGTTCATAGTAGGGGAGGCTGTGTGTGTATGGGGAAAAAGGAATGTGGCAAGACTCAGTACTCTTCATTTGCTGTGAACCTAATACTACTCTAAAAAATAAAGTTTATTAATGAAAAAAAAAATTGGCCCAAACCAAGGACTGCAATGGAGAGAACTTTCTGGGAGGCAGCTTGAGAAGATGGTTGCTAGGCAACCTGATGAATATTTACAAGTATAAAATAATTAATTGGTAATCACTACTGACATCGCATAGCATTACAGCATCCCTCTGAAAGAAATGCTATAAATCCCCAAGTTACAGATGAGGAACAGGGGTGCAGAGGGCAGTGAACTTGCCTGAAAGTCACATAGCAAAAAAGTGGTGCAGTCAGTCAAGCATCTTTGTCTAAATCCAATTCTTCTTCCCTATGATCACTCTTTAGGTAGCTTCAGTGTCATGTGAACATGAAAAATCAGCCTGAGATGAGGTAAGTTTAATATGCTGTGCAAACGTAAACAGTAAGCTTTCTTTTCAAAAGCAATTAATCAGTCTCGGCTGCAGAGTGTTTCAGAGATTTATAGGTTTTTGTCTAACACTATTTCCCTTTCCAATTTTGTTTTTAAGATAGTGTTGAAATATCATTGAAGGAAAGTTTTTTTTTTTTAAAGAAAGCACCAGCACTGAGCATAATGGTGTACGGATATAGTAATCCTCACACTCTGGAGGGCTGAGGCAGGAGGACTGCCAAGTTCAAGCCCAGCCTGGACAACTTAGCGACTTAGCAAGGCCCTGTATCAAAAGAAAACATAAAAAAAGCTGAGGATGTGGCTCAATGTGAAGGCCTGGGTTCAATCCCAAGTATCACTCACACACACACACACACACACACACACACACACCCCACAAGACCAATGATCCATCCACACTAACAAGACAAGACTACTCCACTCTACTGACATCCTTTCAAACCCCTATCTGGTTGCTCACATGCTCTAACAAGTTCCCACCCAGCACTGCAGTTTCAGTCTTCACTGCTTGGTCTTAGGCAGTCACCCTCCCATCCTTTGTTCTGACTTGCTGCCACCCAAGTGTGGCCCAGAGAGCTGGAAGGTCTGTCAGTGCTATTTAGTAACATATCTGTGTATGTAAGTAAGGTAACATATCTGGGTTTACATGCTGCAGTTTAACTACAGATATCACCCCTAGGAACCAGCAGCCCTGGGGTGAGATCCTGGTGTCCTTGGCCAGACACCTGTC